CAAAAACCTTGCGTACGTCATTTTCCACGCAAAACTCCGGATGTATCAAATCTCAACTGAACGTGGAAATGTGCGCAGCCCCACGCCAACTCCAAGGCTGGCGTCACACGTTTCTGTGGTTCTGGTTCCATTGGCGACAGAGGTGATTCTGAGAGACTATTCATGATGTGAAAATGATTATTGTTCACAGCAGACACACATGATTAACAATTATTACATCCACATGGACACAGTTAAATAAAGCACGCGCAAAGTTGTGCCAAAAATACATTTAACAGGAACGGATTAAGGCTTACTGGAGGATATAATAAATAGTGTAACACAGAGAGCTTTTATTTATAAACAGATAGAAATTTCTGATGACGAGTGGCTCATCAGCCGTTTTGAGGAAAAATCATGTTTTAGTTTGGCACTGCTGCGCTCTGGGAGCACGACACAGAGAGTAGCCGCGTGCACGTGTAGCAGCAGTGATTGAACTGGGGTTCCACAGGAGCTTTCTAGAGGGAGCTGGCAGACCCATCGGGACTCAGTCCAGTCCACCCAAAGCAGAATCATGACCAACGGAATCGTCTCATCCATATGATTCTAAAGGCTGAGTTATGGTCGCGCTCTGGAGCGTGTGCACCCTCGCCAGCAGTGGAGGTGTTTCACATTTGGCGTTTACATTGTTGTAGAGTTCTCTAAAATGACACGTGGAAGTACACTTTATAACTTGTGAAAATGCTGTAAGTAGGAGAGCAAAAGTCTGAAGAGGGAGCAGCGTCTTGGTTTTTTTCCAGTCTGTCTTTAATGGCCGATGAAATAAAGATAAAATAAAGAAAATGGCTTTGCTTTTTTTACTGAGAGCAAGTGAACGTTGCGCTCACCAGAAAATTCAGAGGCGGTCTGTTCGGTGGGTTTCACCACTCCACTAATTGCCTGTTTTGTATTTGTTCTGTTACCAAGCAGTTAAGTTACTTTTGTCAATTATTTTGTTTAATATTTTTATTTAAACATTTTTTTAATTAACCTTGAATGCTGGGCCTTTGAGGGGATGTTTATTTTAGTGTGATAACATGAATATGCAAAAATACTCAAGCTAAAGAAAACTGGCATGATCTATACCTGCTGCCTTTAAGAAAATAAATAATACAATAATGAAGATGATGAAGATGAGAGCGCATAAATTTTCCACAAACCCCACTTCAGATTAGCAACTTTATGACTTTAAGCCCAAAAACATGTACAGTTACACTCCGCTCCATCTAGCTCAGCTTAGATGTGTTTATTTCATTTACTTGAGTTTTTTGTGAGATGCATAAAAAACAAAGAGGTAGGGCACAACTCTCATTGCACTGATTTAAATGCAGCTTTAAAACTCTAGATTTTTATGTTCATGACTTCACTTTGTGTTAAAATCTAGTCTTTATGTCATCTTTAAATTATTCAGCTGGCGGAGGCATATTGAGGGTTTTTCTTCTGGTAATGGAGCAACATGTTTGAGAACACAGAGCTCCAGTTGGAGGTCTTTTCTTTGATGATGAGTATAATGTTTATTTTTATCTTTTGTTCCTTTTTATTTTCTTCAGTAGCTCCAGGCATGTTGCCAGGCTTTCCTCCCGGTATCTTCCCTTTCTGGGGTCCTTTTCCTGCCGTGCCCAACCCTGCTGAAGCAGCTGCAGCTCCTGGTGCCCCTGAGCGTCCGCAGGGCAGCACCGAGGCAGCACAGACAGGTGCTGACCACACATTCTGCACATCGTTAGGATTCTGCTCTTTCTTTCTTTGTATTTGGAAGTCTTCATGAGTGTTTGCATGTGTTTCTGTCAGGAGCCACTCCGCCCACATCTGCCACCACAGACACAGCCATATCTGCAGCAGCAGCAGCTCCAGGGTCAGCAATCCCCGGGTTTCCTTTCTCCTTCCCACCTCCTCCCTTCCCCACTGCGCCATGGCTGCCCATGCCACCACCTCCTCCCTTCGGTAAGCTTAGTTTTCTCTTTAAACTTGCTCTACATAGCAGCTCAGGTTTCATGTTTATTTGAACTTTAATTGGGAAATAGACCTTTTTGTTTTTTGTTTCAGGAAAAAACTGGTGACTCTTAGTTTGTCACCTGATTGCTTTTAGTTTCCTTTATATTTATTTATTTATTTATTTATTCATTTAGTCACTGCCTTGTGTTCAAAGTTCATCCTGATCAACATTGTGAATGAAATGAGTTTTTCTCTCTCTTGCCACAGTGTCATCAATGCCTCCGCCCCCTCCATCTCTGACTCGGCTGTCGGATGAGGAGCTGAGGGAGTTGGAGGCAGAAGGGCGGCGGGGCCTAGAGGCCCGGCTGCAGTGTCTCCAGAACATTCATACCCTGCTGGATGCTGCAATGCTCAACATCCACCACTACCTCAGCACTGTCGCTACACTCAAGTAATTGCACTTACTGTTATGGCAATATTTATTTAACAAAGACAGAAATACGTGGTCCAAGAATGAAGGTACTCCGTGAGATGATCAGCTGAGTTTTATTGCAACAAAAGGAAACACAGACAACCTGGCCTGTCTCTGTGCCTCTGCTTCTCTCTGTCATTCCACACTACTGTTGAACTCTGTTGAACACTTTTTGAACGTGTCTCGAGAGGCCTCATATATATATATATAT